GAAAAATTGTCACGTGCTGGTACTATTCGTACGATCTCTATTCGAGTTTGGCTTGTTTCGGAAATGAAAATTTCACTCAATTGCAGCGAACTGTGTACTAATATTGTCAAATCGCGTCGTGGCAAATTTTAAATGTCACTTTAATTAACAAGAACTACTTTTTACTCAACGACGAAATATGAAACTTCGCGGCTCGCTTGATGAAAACTTTGGAACACGAGGTAATTCCGCGAATCAGTGCCGGCGCACTGATACTCGGAGGTTGCATTAGAAATCAGGTTTAAACGAGCTGTAATATATTCAGCGGTTCACCACTGTATCGAACGACGAAACCGCCGATGGATCGGATACATGGAGAACTCGACGATAGTCAACGTCGATCTGCGGTTACAGTGAGTAGAAGTGACAGCCTGTACCTGCATAATGATTCGACTGCATCCATGCAATGCGGCGCGCAAGCTCGCGATGCACATTGCCAATCGGAACGTTGTTTCATCGCGTACACGAGTCTCGTCGGTTACCGATTCTCCAACCACCGAGCCAGCTGCTATCGGTGCAACCACTGTTACCCTCGCTGCCACCGATTTCTATCATCCTCTCAACAATGTTGAGCAGGTACGTCTTTCGATGCGAGGCACGCGATTTCTTTACAATTTCGCCGCCGACGATATTCGGAATATTGGCGATCATGAAACTGTTGTTCATCTATGCAATTCTCATCGGAGAATCGGAGAACATCGTCTTCGATTGATTTCGCTATTGTTCCTTTTTTCTCTCGGTAACCTACTTGGAATTGTCATAATCTTTGCTCGCATTGTTTTAAACAAGTTCTTCTCGTACATACACGTACTGTCTATTGGCGACGATTCCGCATGATGATGGTACTTCATTCTTATTTCCGTCAACATGGTTCTCTGTCACGTTTGAGCTTTGATCTATCGCCAAATCGGTTTCTTTACTGTATCAGAACTGCAACGTTCAAATCGTCTTTGCCAACGTCAATTGTTTTTTCTATCATCGATGATAGTCGTGCTTCTAAATTATTTCTTTAGCCTACTAAAAACAACAATTGTTTTCACTTTGAAATTTAAATCTGTGTCTCGCGCCTCAATTTTTGTTTCGTATTCGACTCTTCAGCGTTCCCTTAGAACGAAGAATTTCCCTATCGATGACAGTCAAGCGTTTAAATTACATTTTTAGATCATTAAAAACAACAATTAATTTGGAACTTAAACTTTTATCGCGCCTTGATTTTTGTTCCGTCTTCAATTCCTTAGCAATCCCTGGAAACGAACAAGTTCTCTTTCGATGGCGTTCAAAATTCTAAACTAAAATTCATTTAACGTTTAATTCATTTTGGAACATCGATTATCTTTTCGCGGCGTAACATCACCATTCGCAATCGTACTCTTTTTTACCGACGATTTTCGATTTTCACCGACACGTTTGCATTTTACAAACGAGAATAAAAAAAAGACTGACAAAAATCCAAATCAACGTGCAATCGAAATCTGTTGACCATCAGACACGATTTTAAGGCGATTTCGCGTGCGATTGATCCTTCTTTTCTTCCCTCATTTTTTTAAATTGTTTTTTTAGTTTTACATGAATAAGCAGCGAAATCGCCTTGAAATCGTATTCTCGCCGCTCGACCGTGTGTTATAATAAACGATCGAGACATTGCTGGAGAGAAGCATCGTATCATATTTTCATTTAACTGACCAGAGTTCAGAGTTGAGCAATATTCCTATTCGGCGAGCATTGTTCTCGAATGCAACGTGTACGCGCGAATTCCTCGAGAATCCAACCTGCGTCAAGAGGGGATGTTTTTTACGTCGTTGGGATTGGGATAAAATATGAACGATGAATTAGCCTCGATTTATGCACAGCATTGTCTTTATTTCTCGTTGAAACTTGAAATGAAAGATTCGTTACAAAATAACGTCCAAGACTGCAAATTCGATTGCAAATTTCATCGACTCAGCTAATGTTAGACGGAGGTATATACTCGTATTCGATAAGCAAGACGATCAAAGAGTTCTCATCCTCGCTGACTTCGCCTCGTAGCTTGGACGCAGACAAGGGTAAATTACAAAAATCAGTTACATTCTCACTCTTTCTCTCTCGCCTTTTGTCTCCCGTATTTTCTCAAACATACACACGCTCTTACTGACGGACTCGCTCTTTCTCTCGAAAAATCGTCCTCTTCTCAATCCTCGGAATTCTCTCTAGGCGTAGAGAAATTCCGCCAATTAGTTCGTTACGGCTAGGATAACAGTACATTGGTCTACGCGGAAATCTCATCTTTCGTACTTTCGCTAATTCCTATAATATTTTTTATTGGCTTGTTTATCCCTACTGAAATCGCCAGCATTGACAAAAGAAAGGAACCGAATGCATTGTTTCGATCGAAAGGACGTGTCGTAACGCTTAAAATTACTTGATTTTTTCTTGTATACAATAGTCCGTTAGATAGTTTAAATATGTATCCTATTATGTTAGTAACTGGAACCTGAGTGTTTCGCCCACAGCTAAACCGCCAGAGTAGTATACACATTATATAATATTTATACATATTGCTGCAAATGTTAGAAAAAAGAGTGTACACGAGTGCACCAGAGAATATAACGTTCGTTTCCTTTATACACTGCTAGGCGCACGCGTATGTGTATTACAGGAATATATCACTTGTTTGTGTATTACAAATTACAAATTGCTCCATCTCGATTACAATAAGTGTCGTCAATACGATTTGATAATCAATGTCGTCGCAGAAAATTTGTTTCCTTGTGCCAAATTATTTCATTCGTTAAAGCCGATCATTCTTTATCACTCTTTCTTTTCTTTTGTCATCGGCATCGATCGTCTCAGCGTACTCTTTCTCGCTTTCTTCTCTTTCTCTCCCTCTCAGACTTATCACTCTCTCTCTTTCTCTCTCGCTCATACTCCGCACCTAGTTCATCTCGTAGAAAAGCTAAGGCAACTTTTATTCTCATCTTTTTTCTCTCTCGCACGCTCCCCTTCTCCCCTTTAAAAGTTCTCTCTTTCCTTGATTCTTGCATCGCAATCCACCCAACGACTCGATCTCGCCTCGATCCACCGAGCACGATTTTTCTGAAATTGACTCGTCAACTTGACGAGCCACCGGCACGCTGACACGAAATGTAAAATCTAAAAGAAAGATACCGAAGGACCGAGCAAACATCGCAAAAATTCGTCAAACGTGTTCGTTAATGTTTCGGCTCGCGAAAGCAACTGTTAGATCGGTCCCGTCGAGAAATCCAACGCCATTGTATTATTCTTTTTCTTCTTCTACCTTTTCTTTAATTTTTTCTTTTTTTCTTTTATATGTATAAAAAATTTTTTTATATGTATAAAAAAAAACTCACCACCGTAACTCGGATATATTTCTAGTTACTTTAAGACGTAATACGCGTTTCGCATCGAGCATGTTTCTCGAACAAGAGGACATGTACTCTTTTCGAAAAGTACAAAACAATACAAGATACAGTGTTGTCGAGTCCACGTGAAAAATCGATTCAAATCGATCACCATAATTCGCTCTGTCTGTCGAGCTAATTCGAATTCGATGATGATTGCTGTATCGTCTTACGTGCGTGTAATCGTTCCTAATAATCCTTTGGCAACTACGAGAATGCTACGAGAAAATTCGTATTTCATTCATTGAACTTGGTTCATCACGATCTTGCGCACAGGAACGTTTCATCTCGATGCTCCAAATAAACTGCCAGAAAAGCAATCCATCAACGTGAACGCGTGCACGCGACGAAAGGAAGGATCAGTGCATACGTGCCAGTAACATTTTTTTCAATATTTTGAAACTGAAACGATTCCAACAGACGTTGCGTAGCCGTTCACGCGCGATTGTTTCGTTCCGGTTGAATTCGCCAAAGCGAGTTTCTCGTAAATAGAAGCGCCTCCTTGTGTTTAGTCACGCTTATTGCCGAATACGAAAAATGGAACATTGTTACATAAGGGCCTTTTGCCGAGAGAGAGCAAATTCTGAAATGCGTGTGCACGCGTGAAGAACGTTTTCCGTCTCGTCGACCGACATTGAAAACGCGCGAGATCTCGCATTCCGCGATTGTCCGTGTGAAAAACACGATCATTAAGGTTTCCATACCTCCGAATAGACGTGCAAACATACGCATAAATATGTTATAAATAATCAATAAAAGATTTGTCGTCAAAGAAAAAAAAAAATATATATATATATATAGGTTTTCCTTATAATAAAATGGGTACATATATAAAAGCATATAAATATATTTATATATATAATTATTATGAATAATCCCACTTATATGCTTTTATATATGTACTTTTTTCCCCACATTTCATTGTTCTCCTTTCATCATATTCTATCGTACGCTATATTTTTTCACCAACGAGTACATCTCGCACGTTCTTTTTTCTTATTCTTCTGTCTATTGCATCTTTATCTAGCTGTACGCATACAGGCATGCATTACGTGTCTGGTGTGTTAATTCCTGCTCCTGAGAAAGGACGAGAGTCGCGAGAAACATGATGGATCCCGTTATAAAAGCGATAATTTCTTTCTTCTACCCGTGCATCCGATTCTTTCCATTGAATGTTTAACGCAGATTTCGAACTCATTCGTCAGTGCAGCTGATTACAACAGGTAGACACATCTGTTCGTTGTCGAATTGCACGTTTCCGTCTGCTTCGGTGTCGCTGATTATTCGCGGCAAGCCGTTGCTTTCCTCGCCATTCTAATCGTCCATTTGAAATTATAATTACACGTTCGATTTTCCAACGTAGCTCTCCCTATTTCCTCTCTACGATACAAGTGTCTTCGACTCCTTTTCGACTTATTGTTAATTTCATTTCACTAGCGTGTAGAATGGAATCCAAGTCGCACGCAAAAAGGTGTAGATAAGTTCAAACAAGTTTATAAGTATAAGTTCGTGACAAATTGAAAGTCTGAAAATCAGAAGATAGGAACATAAGAGACACGTGATCTTGTGCACTAGGAAACAGTCCATTTGGTCAAAGACGCGCATATGGCTAAAAGGGCGCGAGTATCGTTTGAGTAGAGACAACGCAACTTCCTTTAGATGATTGGTAGAAACAGTTCGTGAAGTAACAGTAATTTGAAGATCATTGTAAATTCCGCTATTGATTATAACGAATAGATTAGTGTGGAAATTACGCTGTCTGGGATAATTGCAGATTCAGAGAAATTTGGATGAAGGAAGTGTTGTTTCATACTGAAATCGACAGGCGCGATCGTGGCAAAGGTCATTGCGAAATGTGTCTATAGTGAAAAGCTGCGACATGGCTGTGGATGAAGAAGGCGTTGTTCTACAACGAAGTCTGCATTCTAAATGTGGCAAAAGTCATTGCAAAACATGTAAATTGTTGGAAATTGTTCTATATGGAAATTGACAGCGCGATTGTGACAAAGATCATTGCGGAACACGTAAACTGTTCGAGTCCATAGTCAAAAACTACGACATGCTGTGGAATTAATGTCGTTCGAGTGTTGGACAATACTTGAACAAAACTTGGACAATACTTTAGTTATATATGTCTTGGATTTCGTTGCGAAATTCGTTTCGACAAGCTTCTCGTATTTTTTCTTTAGGTGGATCGTGTATCCTGTAAGCTGACTGCACCACCCAGACAGTAGCAATAGCTATGACTGTAGCAATAGCTATATCATAATTCAGATCGATCACGATCGTTTAAGTACCACCACTAGATTTTATTGAACGTTTCTATCGAGCTTACTGAGCTCGAATTGTTGCTTTCCCT